TTGACATTGGTATCATAATGAACAAAAAGTCAGTTTTATCGAGATCGAGAGAGAGAGAGAGAGAGAGAGAGAGAGAGCTGAGCTGTATATGGAAAGAGTTCTGATTCGGTGTTGGTCATATCAACACTGGCCACCTTTAGGAACTCTTTCCAATACAGAGCCAGAAATAGTGTACCATACCAGCATGAACATGAGAAAATACTCTCACCTCTTAATGAATAGTTTGCAAGTTTGATTGAATCATAGATCATTTTTTAAACTATATGTATTTTATAAACAAAAGGGCCATGGGCATTAATAGCTCATTTGGAATTTTGATATACCACGGCAAACAAACTTTGAGGGGGTATATACCAATCACGCGGTTTGTCTGTCCCTTGTATACACTAGTACACCTGTTAATAGACTATAGAGGTCATTTGTAGGTTGACCTATGAACAGGAGACTTGTAACACTCTTCAAAATACTGGTAAAACAGTTCACAATTCTGTAGACATAAATCTATCACACCAATTATTTTACAAAATTAAGCATATGACTGAAAAACATTGACCTGTTTTTGTAGTGGCTCCTTGAAGGTGGCAGAAGTTACCAGTCGAATCCGCAGTTTACCAAACTTTAAAAAAACCATGGACAACTTTGGCTTCCGTCTCCTTAATGAGGTGAGTTGGGTTGGTAGAGACATTGGTAGTGTGCTTTATCACATAGCATTTCACAGAAAACCATGCTTTATCACACAGCATTTCACAGAAAACCATGCTTTATCACATAGCATTTCACAGAAAACCATAACCAGATAAAGGCTATTTCAAGAGTTTCAATTCAAGTAGGAATGTAAACTGGTACAGTGTAATACTTGCCATCCTTTTTAGCTCACCTGGCACGAAGTGCCAAGTGAGCTTATGCCGTGGTGCGGCGTCCGTCATCCGTCCGTCCGGCCTCCGGCGTCAATATTTTACTTTAAACGACTTCTTCTTAATAACCGAAAGGCCTAGGGTGTCGATATTTGGCCAGAAGCAAACTTGGATGAAGGGCTACAAAGTTTGTTAAAATTAATGACCTTCACCTATTTTCAAGGTCACAGGGGTCAAATATGTCAAAAACTTTAAACATCTTCTTCTCAATAACCAAAATGCCCAGGGAGTTGATATTTGGCCAGTAGCATGCTTGGGTGAAGGGCTACCAAGTTTGTTCAAATGAATGACCTTCAATTATATTCAAGGTCACAGGGGTCAATTGTATTAAAAAA